TATGGGCCGGGCATCACTAGGTATGTTGTATTCTTATCATGCCTTATCTATTCACCGGGTATCCCTTAGATGACTTAGATGACTTATACCTCGGGCCGGATGATGACATAGAATATGATTCTATGTCATCTGGACCCCCAGATGCGTCGGCTGCAATACCCGGTATGACTATACATTACTGATGACCTGGGATCACCATGCATGCTAACTTCACCCTTGAAGATCAATCACATCCGGGTCAAGCTGATGATGCCAGCTGTCTCATTGATCCAGACTTGTACCTCGGGCCTGAGGATGATGTCATTGATGTTGATGAGTTGCTGGACTCTGCTGATCCTCCCACTTTTGCTCCGGCTACCTCAGAGGTGTCTATTTCATGTGGGTCCATTCATTCTAGACCATTATGGAGACTGATCTTATCTCCCAAGCCGACAAATCATCTACCGAACTCCCTGGAGACCAGCCGGAGCTCAATATTGAGGATGTACGGTTGATGGTCCGGGAGCTCCATCCTTTCGGAAAATACCAACACCCAGAATGTGAGTATCTGAAAGCAGAGCATTTATCTTTGAGCTAATGTTTCTGGAATACCAATCCGTCCAAGATCAACTCCATGATTACAAACGCCGTACTGGAGGTCTTCCTGACCCTTCCATCCAACAACTAATCGAGGCCGAGCGTCCATTCCGAACTGCTTGGGCAGAAACATCCGACAAACTGAAAAAAGCTGATGCAGACCTGCAGAGGTTGCAAAGAGTTGAACAGATGAGCATTGAAATGCTCAAGGTAGTAGATTCCATGATTGAACACTTTGAAGAACAACTGACCATGTAAATTACTGCATTGCAACCTGTGAATTTTCATGGACATCCCCACATCATGTACCACTACCGAATTTTTCAATACATGTCCCTGGGTGTCGAACGGGACTCAATACACGATGGTTGGGATTCGATAATTGGGACTCAACACTCGGGACTCGATAGTCGGGACTTGATGTTTGATATTTGGGAGTCGATAATCGGGACTCAACATTCGGCACTCGATTTTCGGGACTTGATGTTCGATGCTCGGGACTCGACGCTCAATAGTCGGGACTCGGTGTTTGACGAATCTCGGGGTTCGGGACTCAAGGTTCGATAGTCGGGATTCAATGTTTGTGACTCAATAGTCGGGACTCAATAATCGATATTCACTAGTGGGGACTCTGCATATCATATTAGGTCTGATATATGAAAGTTACACATTGACATGTAAATACAAGCAGGTAATGGCAGGCAGTGTAGTATCAGCCCATTACTTCTTTCCCCTTGCTCTCGTCACTCGAGTGCTTGTGTCCAATGGCTGCTGTGTTGACTTACTCCGGGTTGTCCTTCGCCGATGGCTCAATCACTGCTTTCCTTCCCCGCATGTTCTTCGGCGCCGGCGACCTATTGACTCGTTCGGTTGCACCATCCTCCTGAACATTGCGAGTGACTCTCGCAGTCAGCCCAGTCAGGAGGTCGCCCATTCGCGATGTCAGCAGTGCACCAGTCTTCCCTGCATTGACCGGGCGAAGGCTTGGAATTGCATGTGGGACCGACTGTCCCTTCATGTGCTGTCGAAGGACCAGGCTCTGTTCTGGGTCTCTTTTGCGGGGATCTACCTTCCTCTGTGTCATCATCAGCATCATCCTCCATGTGATGAGTGTTGTCCTCGGGATTGCTCTCTGGATCACTCTCGTGATTGCCTCGGATCACTGTCAGTTTCGGTCGATGAATTCTGAGGCCTTCGGATCATAACTCGTCTGGCATTACAAGTCCGATGAGAAGGTGAATTTCGGATACAACCGAGGCTACCATGTCCCCATCTTGTTCCTCCATGCTTTGAAACAGGAATGTTGGACCCTTCGCCTTTCTCGAGCCCCTTCAGTGACAAATCCCGTATTATACGGGTCACCCGACCTACATATATCCCGTTGTAATACGGGCCAGCAGATTATGGGCCGATATTATGTATATTACCCGATGTGACGGGTGGGCCGGGAGGCACTATTATTTCCGATGGAGACGGGTGGGCCCATCTATGCTGACGGTTATATATATCATCGACGATAGCGGATGGCCGGGAGATATATTATTATGGAGATGGGTGGGCCCATGTGGTAATATGTAGAGTAGGATTGACATATATTATAGACCTGAGGAGAGATGTATAGCAAATAGTATTATATAGACGGGTGGGCCGACGTATCAGTATTATTTTGTAGACGGATGGGGCCGAGGGAGCAGTGAAATATTTATTAGATAGGACGGGTGGGCCGACGTAGGGAAATATTAGATAGACGGGTGAGCCAAGGGTGGGGTGAATTATTTATTACATAGACAGGTGGGCTTGATGTGGGGTAATATTAGATAGACAGGTGGGCCGAGGGTGAGGTGAATTATTTATTACATAGACAGGTGGGCCGACGTGGGGTAATATTAGATAGACGGGTGGGCCGAGGGTGAGGTGAATTATTTATTACATAGACAGGTGGGCCAACGTGGGGTCATATTAGATAGACGGGTGGGCCGAAGTGCAGAATTTTACATAGACGGGTGGGCCGACATCGGGTAATATCAAGTACCAAGTACTAAACCCAAAACCCAAAACCCAAAACCTGAAACCTGAAACCCGAGCCCTGAACACCCAGACTCGGGACTCAAGAGACTCAAAACTCAAAATTCAAAACCCAACTGGAAAGTCATACATTTTACGAGTTAAGAAATTCAAATTGAAGATGATATACATTTGTGTCATCTGGAAATACCGAGTACCGAGTGCCGAGACCTGATACCCAAGACCCGAGATTCGGCACTCGGTAGTCAGTGAAATGAGTACAGAAATACATAAGATTACTACACATTAGTGTCAAATTTTGACTTGTGAATCACAAGTCTCGAGTCTCGAGACTACGAATCACCGAGTACTGACTACCAAGTACCAAGTACCAAGGTGCCGAGTGCCGAGGTGCCGAGTGCCGAGTGCCGAGTGCCCGAGTGCCGAGTGCCGAGTGCCGAGTGCCGAGTGGGCCGAGTGCCGAGTGACCCGATGCTTTCGGGTATTAAAAGCCCTCGCTCTCAGGGGCCCATCAGAATTTAGATCATCTCAAACGGATGTGATTTGAGTGAGATATGAACAAAATTCTATATACCGGGTGAATTTTGGCATCAGAAGTTCGATGCTTTCGATGTTTTTGATGTCTGGTCTTGATGCTTTCGAGGCATTAATATGTAGATAGCCCTTGATCTCAGGGGTGTGGCAGAACTCACATTGTCTCAAACAGATATAATTTGAGTGAGATATTTGCAAATACTATGTATATACTGACTACCGAGTGCTGAGTGCCGAGTTCTGAGTTCTTGAGTTCCGAGTGCCAAGTGCCGAGAACCAAGTTCCAAGTGCCGAGTTCCGAATGCCAAGTTCTGAGTGCCGAGTTCCGAGTGCCAAGTTCCGAGTGCCAAGTACCCGATGCTTTCGGGCATTAACACCCAGATCGCCCTCGCTCTCGGGACCCGTCAGAATTTAGATCATCTCAAATGGATTGTGATTGAGTGACCCGGAGAATGTAATTGTAGACATATGGAGCTCAGCTTAGTTGTATATCATCCAAATCAAGGAGGTGATTATTCAAAGTCATCTAATGATGTGGTATGGCACGGAGCTTTGGCCAAAGGGGTGAAGTGGAACTCGAGCGAAGTGTACCGAGTTCCGAGACCCGGGTCTCGACAAACAAATATGTGATGTCCAGCACACTTCCGATCATCTGGTACTCATTGAGCAATGGATGATAATAGATCTTTGAAAAAGCCAACATCATCCAAGCCTACCAAATGCCAAATGCCAAGTTCCGACCACCGAAAATTGAGTGAAGTTACCAATATCTGAGCCCCAACTATTGAATTCCCGAAAATCGACCATTGAGTCCCGACTATCGAGTCCCGACTACTGAGTCATGAAACCCGACGCCTGACCATTGAATCCCGACAATCGAGTATCGAGTCCCGACCAACGAGTCCCGTATATCGAGTCCGACCATCGAGACCCACATACCCGATGCCCGATGCCCGAGACCCGATGCCCGAGACCCGAGACCCGAGATTCGAGACAAGTTCCAACTATGGTGTCCCGGGTATCAAAATCGAGTGAAGTGTACCGAGATCCGAGGCCCGGTCTCGACAAACGAGTATCTGACATCCAACAGACTTCCAATCATGTGGTAGTTCATTGAGCAATAGATGATAAGAGATAATAGATCTTTGAAAGCTCAGATCATCCAAGGCTGCCTTATCTGATCCTCTCAATCTCCACCCCCTTTAACACCAAAGTGCGGACATTCAGGATTCAGCTTCTGATCTCACAAGATCAATTCAATCATGGATGTTTCTTCCACTTCCGATGATGAAATACCCTCTTGCGCACTTGGGCCCTGACTGTCACTCATGTGGCATGTGATTATACGGAACAGAAATTCAATGCAGAGAAGACAGGAGGAGACCCAGTTATACCTTCTCCAAACCTAGACACTGATCTGGTGATGGCTTGTGATCGATTGGTTGATCGGCTCATAAAGGCATATAAAAATCCCAGTGAGTCTTCCTGCAGATTCAGAAAAATTCGTTATAATCAGTCAAATTGCTTCATCACAGTTCAGATGCCAATCGATATTGGCAAGATATAGCAAATTGATCTCCCCAAGGACACGGGGCGTAATGAAGAGAGAGAGGAAAAGTTGCTCGAGAGGTTTCCTCCTGGCCCATGAGGGGCACAAAAGTTGATCGACATACCCGCGACAATTCTTGATGCATCCGGTGCCATCATCGCATGGTACCTCCCAGACGCCTTGACCGATGCCACCCAGGTGTGGTTATATATAGTTGTGACTGGATGGATATTGAACATCAAATGGTACGTACAGAATGAAATTTGGGCGGCCTCGGATTTGCTAGCTCCCATGCTCGAACAAAGCATAAAGCTCGATGGGATTTTGGCGGACTACTCAACAGTGGTTCACACCAAGCTCGGAAAATGATGTCCTAACTCCTGGATGCGTTAATTTATCTCCGGCATGGTTTCAGCAGGGGCACGAGGTAGGATCTGATGAGATGGCGATCTCGGTAGTTAAACTCACCAATCCCATAGAATCAGTCCGATCCGGAGGTATCTGCATCATTGAAGGGACCATCCTCCGAGAACATCCTCAAAGCCATTGCGAGGCCAGCAGCCATTGCCACAGCGGCACTCAGGGTGATGCATCCTGAGCAGTACTGGGCAGGGTTGCAAGCCTTTGCGAGCCTCGGAGAAAAGGCACGAAGCAAGGAACTGCCGAAGATGTCAGAGACTCTCCAGTACTGGGCAACGGTGTTTAACAGCCTCACCATCATCATATGCAATCGGGAAACCCCGAATCATCGAGACCCCTCATCGATTTCCGAATGCTTCGATATTCTCACTAGCGTGGGGAATTATTCTAATGCTCGGATGAGTATGCCAAGCCTGCAGCTGGAGTTAAGGTACGATCCGGGGTGCATGATTGCATTTTCGGGAAGGATTGTCAGACACGCGGTTCATGCAGTGGAAGGGGATCGGATTGCCTGGGCATGGTATATGAGGGATGCTGTTCATGTTTATGCTGGGATTCCGTCGTGTGGATGGGCAAGGTTGGATTGGAAGAAGTAGAAAGGTAGTTACCCGTGTTAGTACCCACCTTCAAATACATGATACTAGATGTCAGGCACTCCATACTCAACATTCGGGTTTCGGGTCTTGATAGTCGGGACTCGATATTCGATTTCACCGACTACCGAGTACCGGGTTTCGGGTTTCGGTACACGGTACCCGGTACTCGGTGATTCAAGAAAACAACTCCCAAAATTGATGAGTGTCATGTTTTGAGTTTTGTTTCGATTTGTTTGAGTGTCGAATCTCGGGCTTCGGGCTTCGTGTTTCGGGTCTCGATAATAGGGACTCGATACTCGATGGTCGGCACTCACATCTCGGGCTTCGGGAGTCGATTGTCGGGACTCGGGTTTCAAGACTCGGTAGTTGGGACTCGATAGTGCGGATTCGGGTTTCAAGACTCGGTACCCGGTACTCGGGTTTCGGTACTCGGTGATTCAAGAAAGTGTCGTGGTGTTTGGAGTTTTGATTTGTTTCGTGTCGAATCTCGGGCTTCGGGCTGCTTGGGTTTTGGGTCTCGATATTGGGGACTCGATACTCGATGGTCGGCACTCAAATCTCGGGCTTCGGGAGTCGATTGTCAGGACTCGGGTTTCAAGACTCGATTGTCGGGACTCGATGGTTGGGACTCGATGGTTGGGACTCGATAGTCGGGCTGTGGGACTCGATTGTCAGGACTCGGTGGGGACTCAAAACTCGCAACTCATAGCAATGTTCGAGTTTCAAGTCTCGTCTCGAATCTTGGGCTTCGGGACTGGATATCCGGGACTCTATGTTTGGGACTCAATATTTGGAACTCAAGATATCTGGATCTCGATGCTCGATATTTGGTATGCAGGACTCAGCATATAGCAATAGGTCAGATATTCGAAAGTCAGTATGTAATTTTCAGTACTTATTTCATCATGTACAGAATTTAGACTTCAACATTCTGAACTGAAGGACTAGAACTACTCTGGTCCCCTTGGGTTCAATTTGGTTAGGACGGCGGTGTACATCTGAATCTCTGCCATCTTTTCACGGATGCCAGCTTGTTGATCCTCAATCACTGTCAGGAGGCGTTCCCTCATCCACCTCAGTGCCTTCAGCGTTGCAACGAGCTTTCATCCACCTGCTCGGGAACAACAAGACGTTCGTCCTCAACGCCAGACTAGAAAGGATTAGTCATCACTCAAGGAAATTCTGTAAAAGTCTTACTAGCCAATGCTGGTAGTGACAGACACAATTAGCGAATACCTGATCCCATGGCCATAATTCGTTCGGGATGGCAGTTGATCCGGTCCACCATGGAGTACCATAGGTGGATACAATGCGGGAGGGATCCCCCAGATCTGCAACGTCTTGAAACTGGCATAGGTGGGATGAAAAGATGTGGTCCGGAACCATGTTCCAGGTGAGCTCGGGAATCAACTGAAGAATATGAGCAACCGGGCTCGGAACAACCGAAATGATGTTCCTTGCAGCTGAGTACTGCAGGATGGGAGTCACAAAAGTCTGTTGGAAATGTCAGCATTGACCACCACAGTCATCAGCCTCTTACAGCTATCTCCCATTGCAGCCCGGCTTTAAAGTGCGTGATCCGAGTAGCAGATGGCTCCTGGGTGTGGGCAGCCTCCATCTGATATTGAGAGATGGACGCTCGGATGCGAGATGCAGCCATTGACATTGTAGCTGCAATATCTGCCTGAGTGAGTGTGAGGGGTCGGAACCCATTGCCGGAAGTCTGAGAATTAGAAGGGGATGTTGGGGGAGTATGCAATACAGACATGGTTAATGCAGGATTATGAAGCTGGAAATGACAATGACAATGGCAGTTGGTTCGGAGGTCAAGATATGAGCCACTGGTTGATTGATAAAATTTTCAAACTCCGACATGGGTCGACCCGGCCAATTCCCGGGACTAAAATGTTTGGGTCAAAGTAGCTGTTTCATATCGTTGGCAAAAAAATTTCATTCATCTCGAGCATCTATAAACCCGGTCTTCAGGTCTTGAAATGCTGCCTGGGCATCCTGTGCCAGCAATGAATACATTTGGGATTGCCTTCCCGAGTAGCATGCATGACCCGGAAGGTGTTTCACCAATGATTCGCGCATCCTGTCACCCCATTGGGTTGCTTTCCACAAGAAAAAGTTACATGTCCAATCCATCTCCAATTGGACCAACATCATTTCTTCCTTCCATCGATCCCGTAGTGCCTTTGCCCGGAGCCAATGAACTCGGTAAACTTCGGATGACTCCGTCAGCTGAGTGCGGGACACATCAAGCATGCCCGAACTCACATTCCTCATTCCACGAGTGATCGGGACCCCCAAGGTCGACTTCGACTGACCAGAACCAAGCGAGGGACTCGTTTCGCTGACCTCGGGCATTTGGATCGCCGACGGCAGTGCTGATTTTGAGTTGCTCTCGAAGCAGGGGTTTGTATTTCTGAACCTGGTCTTGCCCTGGCTCCAGTTGCATCATTTGCTTCCGTCTTCGTATATATACTGGCATGGAGGGACACTGCCTGCTGCACCGACGTCACCTGGGACCAAGCTCGAGTTTTCAGGGCCTGGGATTTGGCTTGCCTAACTGTTGTTCGAAACAGAATCGCCTTGTTGCACAAGTGAATTCGGAGGTTGTGAAGGGAGTCATTGGCCTGCCCTTCACGAAGAGACATCTCCAGCGGAATGAGATCGTCTGCCATACAGCGTCTGCATCGATCTACCCCGAGGTTTGATGGCAATGGGATTACAGTGAGCTCAGGGGAGTTTGCCCATGTGTCAGATGTCTCGGTGAAGTCTGCCAAGTCATCATCGAGATCATCAAGAATGTCCAAGTACAAGTCTTCAGGATCATCATCTGCATCAAATCCCTCTCCGAGATGCGTAATAGCAGACCGAGTGAATCCATCTATCTGGCCTTGGAGACGATCGCGTTGCCGGGCGATGTCTAACTTCTGTGTCTCGGTAGTTCTTCTACCAATTCTTCGGACCTCGATGAGCAATGCGATTTGAGCCTCTTCAATCGCCAACCCCATTGATATCCATGTCGCCACAGACCTGCGAGCAGGTGCTGCATTTCGGGCATTACCCTCCTCTAGTAGCCTAAGCTCGATCTCCTTTTTGCTCGGTGCTGAATGCAAAATTAATCAGACTTTGATGGAGACAAAGTCAACTAACCCTTCTTGATATTAATCTCATATACATCCATAGCCGCAGGATTATTTATTCTGCTGGACTGAGCGATCCTCTCGCTGGCTAGCCACTCTGTCTTTGAATCGCCGGGTGCTGCTTCATTGAGTATGTCGAAAGCCTTTTCACTTTCGGCAATGCCATTCTTCGCCTGCTTGTATTTTCGGCAAAGGGTCCTTTTCATGCGGATCATCTTGCAGAAATTGGAATCATTCATCTGATAATCGAGACATTCCTTTCGATGCGGGGATGACATTCCCCGAGCAGCAGGGGAAATCAGGTTGAGACGTGACCATAGGGTCTCCATGATCTCTCCATCAATCCGACCGATGCCTTCGATAAAATTCGACGCATATCGGACATAGCAGCTGTCCTGATGTCCGTGGATGTGCCACAACCCGATTCCGGGAATGATGGTCAATTCCGGAACCATTTCGAGAAATCGGCTTCGATCCACCCGAACCCGAAAGTGCTTGTTGTATTGACAGTTGATATCATAGAAGGTGACCGCCCTGGTGATGCCTTCCATGTTGTGCCGGGCCCTCACAAAGGGCATAGTCCATGTTCATTTGTCTGCGAATGATGCATGGTTAACTCGTGAATATCGAATGGCTGGGTCGGCTTGCCTTTCGCCTTTCTGAAAATCTACCATCGAGTGAGGAACAAAGCAACCGTGTCTCGCACAGGCTACTCCCCCGATACCCGTGGATTCCAGCTTGTGCCGAGCCGCATTTGCTTGATTTACTGCCCGGTGATTGTTGCAGCTTGATTTTTCTAAAGTGTCGGCAGCCTCTGCAAGATGCGTGTTATACCTGTCCTTTCCCACCATGAATCCCAACCCATCTGACAGCCAAACTTCATCAAATGGCTTCATGGGATGCAGGTGTTCAGCTTTGAAATTTCCATCCATAACAAATGACCGGGTGTATTTCCACCTTGGAGTTGTTATTATCGCTGAGGTGACTTCGGTATCGAGGAAGACTCACTCATCAAGTGATTCATCCCCTGAGAAGGACACATTAATCCCAGGCTGAGGACATGCCGGGCAAAATAATGCGAGATCTCCTGCATTCGGGCTGTCGGAACAATGGCCGAAGCCATGCCATTTCATCGTCTTCAACTGCCTCCACTGTCGGGCGACTCTCATGAGCTCTCGGTATCGGTCCTTGCCCCATGCCTTGTCAATATAATGTCCTTTAGATGAGAGAGACATGGCATTACCGGTACAAGGTGTGGAAACATCCTCGAGGTCATTCGCCGGAGCTTGCTGTAATAGTTCATCGCCGAGGTCCCACATTCAAGGTTGTCCAAGAAAATCATCGAGAACCCTGAAGGTGAATAAAGTCTTCGGCTTGTTAAATGAAGCGGGGAAAAATCCATGTCGAAACATTTGAAGGTCTGGACTCATGGCATTTGGACAATCGCAGCATCGAACCCGGAGGCGATGAACTCCGGACTTGTCAATGATGACCATGGTGTTTTCCTTCGGCTGGAACTCGGGTCCCGACACAGATGGTAGATCTTCAGGCTCAAGCTGGTCTTCCAGTTCGTCTTCTTCGAACAAGTCCCACCTATCTGTAAGTACCGGACATTGTTTGCCCTCATGACCGAGGTCCCGGTATGTTCAAGCATTATCAGGCGGCTGTAAAAAGAGTCATGGCTGAATTGTCCGATGATGAGTTGGAGAAGGCGAAAGACACGGCCGAAGAATGGTCCAGCAACTTTCCTCCTCCCGAGATACAAGCACAAGTGGCTCATAAGAAGGGACTGGTGTATATGGAGCACTTTTCGAAGGAGATGTGGAGGCAATGCGGGATGAGAGTGTTTGTGATGTCGGCATGGAAGAATGAACAGGGAGAGGTGCTGTTCGGGATGTAAGTCAATTTTGTCATCGCAGATCATCGCAGATCTTCGATCTCAATACATTTCATGCAGGCACGATGATAACGAGGCATTAGGAGATGGGGAAAGTTTCATGAAGACGAAGGACTGGAGGACATCGAGCCAGTTTGGCAGGAGTATGCGCAGGAACAATTCGGTGAGTGTTTGATCTCTGGCTACTGGAATGAATTGGTTGATCTTTGTCATGATAGGTGCTGGGGCACGAGATGGTGGGCGACAGGTGAATGGAGGTCGAAAGAGAATCAGGAAGCCTGCTTTCGAACTCGAAATTGATGGGGATGGGATGCCGGTGCTTCCTGACATCACCGAGACAAACTCGAGGAGAAGAAAGCCATCGTCAGAGCATTTCTCACATCGCACTATCGTGAGTCCGTCCTCGCAACACACGAACATTTGTTGAATCATTTATACAGGTATCTGTTTGGGATTGTCAAGGCAGTTGTGCCATGGAGTGCCATCGTACAAAGTCAGGATGACTTTGTGGCAAGAATGTCTCTCCGGCGGATGTGGACTTGAAGGAGCCTTCGAAGTTGCAACATTGGGACACGACCGCCTTACTGAATTTCTGGTATGCTCGGCAGGAGAAAGGCGAAGGTCCAACATTCCTGTTCAAAGCATGGAGGAACAGAGATGGGGACATGGTAGCCTCGGTTGTATCCGGAAATTCACCTTCTCATCGACTCGTAATGCCAGACGAGTTATGATCCGAAGGCCTCGGAATTCATCGACCGAAACTGACAGTGATCCCGAGGCCAATCACGAGAGTGATCCAGAGAGCAATCCCGAGGACAACACTCATCACATGGAGGATGATGCTGATGATGACACAGAGGAAGGTAGATCCCCGCAAAAGAGACCCAGAACAGAGCCTGTCCTTCGACAGCACATGAAGGGACAGGGGTCCCACATGCAATTCCAAAGCCTCGCCCGGTCAATGCAGGGAAGACTGGTGCACTGCTGACATTGCGAATGGGCGACCTCCTGACTGGGTGACTGCGAGAGTCACTCGCAATGTTCAGGAGGATGGTGCAACAGAACGAGTCAAAGGTCGCCGGCGCTGAAGAACATGCGGGGAAGGAAAGCGGTGATTGAGCCATCGGCAAGGACAACCCGGAGTAAGTCACACAGCAGCCATTGGACACAAGCACTCGAGTGACGAGAGCAAGGGGAAAGAAGTAATGGGCTGATACTACACTGCCTGCCATTACCTTGTATTTACATGTCAATGTGTACTTTCATATATCAGACCTAATATGATATGCAGAGTCCCCACTAGTCAATATCGATTATGAGTCCCGACTATTGAGTCCCGACTATTGAGTCCAGACTATTGAGTCACAAACATTGAATCCCGACTATCGAACCTTGAGTCCCGAACCCCGAGATTTGTCAAACACCGAGTCCCGACTATTGAGCATCAAGTCCCGAGCATCGAACATCGCGTCCCGAAAATCGAGTGGCCGAATGTTGAGTCCCGATTATCGACTCCCAAATATCAAATATCAAGTCCCGACTATCGAGTCCCGAGTGTTGAGTCCCAATTATCGAATCCCAACCATCGTGTATTGAGTCCCGTTCGACACCCGGGGACATGTATTGAAAAATTCGTAGTGTACATGATGTGGGGATTTCAATGAAAATTCACAGGTTGCAATGCAGTAATTTACATGGTCAGTTGTTCTTCAAAGTGTTCAATCATGGAATCTACTACCCTGAGCATTTCAATGCTCATCTGTTCAACTCTTTGCAACCTCTGCAGGTCTGCATCAGCTTTTTTCAGTTTGTCGGATGTTTCTGCCCAAGCAGTTCGGAATGGACGCTCGGCCTCGATTAGTTGTGGATGGAAGGGTCAGGAAGACCTCCAGTACGGCGTTTGTAATCATGATTGATCTTGGATGGATTGGTCTTCCAGAAATATTAGCTCAAGATAACTGCTCTGCTTTCAGATACTCACTTCTGGGTGTTGGTATTTTCCGAAAGGATGGAGCTCCCGACCATCAACCATACATCCTCAATATTGAGCTCCGGCTGGTCTCCAGGTAGTTCGGTAGATGATTTGTCGGCTTGGGTGATAAGATCAGTCTCCATAATGGTCTAGAAGAATGGACCCACATGAAATAGACACCTCTGAGGTAGCCGGAGCAAAAGTGGGGAGGATCAGCAGAGTCCAGCAACTCATCAACATCAATGACATCATCCTCAGGCCGAGGTACAAGTCTGGATCAATGAGACAGCTGGCATCATCAGCTTGACCCGGATGTGATTGATCTTCAAGGGTGAAGTTAGCATGCATGGTGATCCCAGGTCATCAGTAATGTATAGTCATACCGGGTATTGCAGCCGACGCATCTGGGGTCCAGATGACATAGAATCATATTCTATGTCATCATCCGGCCCGAGGTATAAGTCATAAGTCATCTAAGGGATACCCGGTGAATAGATAAGGCATGATAAGAATACAACATACCTAGTGATGCCCGGACCCATAGATGAGTCATCCACATCCATAGAATTATGGTCGGTCACGCGTGGGTCATTAATCTAATGGCTGGATGGGACTCATGTGTGGAGAATGGTGGACTGATTGACTGATGATCTAAAAACTTCGAAGTTCAACACAAAGCCGCAATTGCCGAAAGTTGAACAATGACCAAACAAACACAAACAATAAACGATTTTGTGGATCGCCCATCAAATGTCTTGTTTGTTTGAAAACTTCATCTTTCTGATAACTGATTTCAATCTGATTTCAAGATCTTTAAATCTCTCAACCCACTCATCATGTCCACTCCAGTTGACAACTCTTTGACCCATCTCAAGGCATCCGCTGCCCAGATCATGGCCATCATCAGT